GTATGTTTATGGTATTTTTCGTAATGCGCATAAGTCCAATTTTCCAAATTTTTTTATATATTTTTTGCATCTCATAGAGTCCCTAAGCGTATACCCGAACTCCTATACTCCCTGAAACGACACTCATTCCTAACTGCAAGACGCAAGAGTCTCGCAGGCTTAGTCTTGTTCTTGCTCAAATGTTGCACGGTCAGTCTTGGTCTAGGTCTTGCTAAAATTAGGCGGTCTTGTTCTTGGTCTTGGTCTTGCGAAAATGGAAGAACAAGACCAAGACTGCAAGACCAAGACCGATTTTGGGCAACACTAGTCGCAAGCGAGTTAAAGTCAATTTAAAAAGTTACAGCGAATTGATTTCTTATATTACACGCGAACACTACATATTAACTAAAATTATATGGATTTTATCGCGTTTAATTAATGTGTCTTTGTTCAAAGGCCTTTGTTCAGCAGCGGCATTGGATTTAAGAGGGGCTGTAATGATGATTATGATGAAGTACGTATATATATATATATATATATATATATATATATATATATATATATATATATATATATACTGTTCACTGTTCCATTAAGTAAAGAAAATTATTTAAAAGAACTTAATATAAATTATCAAATTGCAGTCTCTAACGGTTTTTCAAAAAATCTCATTAATAATCTTATTAAAAAGAAACAAAAGCATGTTGTTAGCAATTCTTTGTACGCGGTTCGATCTCAAAGTGTCCGGCGATATGTGGGTAGTTTGACCTACTTAGGCTCCATATCGAAAACATAGCTAATACTCTTAGAAAAAACGGCATTAACGTGACATTCAAAACAAGCAATTCGCTTAGGAATATTTGTAATAATAAAGATAAGTTAAATATTAGTCAAAAATCGGGTGTTTATAAACTTGTTTGTGACGAATGCCACACCGTTTACGTGGGTCAGACTGGTCGCAATTTCGGGACGCGCTATAAAGAGCATTTGGCCGCGTACAGAAATTGCAATCCTAATAAATCCCATTTTGCTAAACATCTCTTGGACACTGGACACAACCTAGCTAGCGACCATTCCTTTGAAGTCTTACATACTTGTAATAAGGGGCTGCGGCTGCGTGTGTTGGAACAGTTGGAGATTTTAAAAAATAATAATGGTAACAATGCACTGCTGAATGAACAAACAAATGTTTCTAATTCACCTTTGTTAAACATCTTTAAGGCTAATCTTTAATAATAATTTTAAAATTAATAATAATAAATAACTATAATAATATCAATATAAAAAACAATAATAATAATATTTAAAAAATATTAATAATAAAAATTAGTCGCAGGTTTGTTATCGCGCGGCGCCGTCACTCGCTACTTTGGTGGGGAGTGGTTGTGTCGGCGTGTATAAATAGCAGCTGTTTCGGCTCGCCGCTCCGACCCCTCTCACGTCCAGGCAGTGGAGGATGAGGTCCGCCGCCGGAACTCACCCCCTACGGCCTCCAAACCTATCTCTGTGTCCAATGATGAGATTTCATCCCACATCAAAGGACTTAAGCCCAAAAAGGCTCCGGGCGCGGATGGCATCTCCAACCAAGCCCTAAAACACTTTCCTGAGCAGGTGTTAACCTTTTTATCTATTATCTTCAACGCCTGCTTCAACTTCAGTTATTTCCCCACTACGTGGAAAGAGGCTACTGTGATTGGAATTCCCAAGCCAGGCAAGCCTCTCAACCTCCCCCTCCAGCCATCGCCCCATTAGCCTCCTCAAGGCAATGGGCAAGCTCTTCGAAAGAGTCATCCAAACGCGTATGAGGCGCTATCTGTTTCCCACAGACGGCGACCCTCTTATCATTCCCCATCAATTCGGTTTCCGAGCCAAACACTCATGTCCCCAACAAGTTCACCGCATTGTGGAATATATCCTCAGCGGTTTCTATCCTCGTCGTCATAAGACCATCGCGGTCTTTTTCGATATAGCTAAAGCTTTCGATAGAGTCTGGCACACAGGCCTCATCTACAAGCTCTATAAAATAGGTCTCCCCGATCGTCTAGTTCGTTTCGTGGCCTCCTATTTAAAACATCGTACCTTTCGTTTTAGACACGAAGGCACGCTTTCTTCACAGCGAACTATCAAGGCTGGTGTCCCTCAGGGCTCAGTACTTGCTCCTCTGCTGTACATCCTGTTCACCAACGACATTCCCATCCCGTCGAAAGGTGTTCAACTCTCCCTCTTCGCAGACGACACTGCCATCTACTGCAAAGGTGTCTCACTACCCTTCATACGGAACAAGATCCAAAAGTCAGTTGATGACCTAGGAGCTTGGTTCAAAAAATGTCGCATCGATGTGAACCCGGAGAAGAGCTCCGCCATTCACTTCGATTATAAACGACGCCGTCTCAAAAACACCCCACCAATACGTATGCTAGAGACCCCTGTCCCCTGGCATACGTTCGCCAAATATTTAGGTGTCACTCTAGACACAGGGCTCACTTTCAAGCCCCACGTCAAAAGAGTAACCCGTCACGCACGATTTTATCTGAGTAGGCTCAACAGTATGTTGGGCCGACACAGTAAGATGTCCCTTCGAAACAAGCGTACCCTTTACAAGGTCTGTATACGACCAGTCATGTCCTACACGGGCCCCGTCTTTGCCCACCCAAACCCTAATATTTTAAATGAACTCCAAATAGTTCAGAACCTCTTCTGCCGTCGAGCTGCGAACGCACCTTGGTACGTCCGTAATGCCGACCTTCATCGGGACTTAGAGCTCCCAACAATTCAACAATTCCTTAAAAAACTCTCTGAGAACTTCTTCAAAGTCTCAGAGTCGCACCCAAATCAATTAATTCGTGAGGCAGCTTCTTATGCAGCCCCACCGCCCTCTCGCTATCGTGTCCGCAGGCTGAGAAACTCTCTCTCGGACCCGCCTAATAAACTGTCAAACGACCTGAACTGTCTCCTGGCGGCTCAGGCCAACTCTAATTAAACTAAATTATTGTATTAACCAACTTTAATTTGCCTTCGTAGGCACTCCCTCAGCGGCACTTAGCCGCCTGCGCCCTCTTTTCCCAAAAGAGGGTCGCTCATGATAAGGCACAATAGAGCTTAATCAGCCGGTTGCCTGTCCCCAAAGGCGGTTTTTAGAGGGTGTCACTTAGGGTCCCCGGTAGGACAGTGAGCCCCTCATAACCACGATAGACCGGCTATCGTGGTATGCGTAATGCATTTTCCGCCTCCCTACGTATAGGGTAGCCCTTTAATTGCTTCGGGCGCAAAAAAAAAAAAGCTCGCCGCTCACTTAGCGGTCAGTCGCCGTAGAGTCTACATTACCTGAAGATGCCTCGTGTAGAGGCGAAACACGTGTCGTATTGCCGTCGATGGTGTGTCTTACCTGGAATAGTGGTGTTTGAAGTATTGGTGCCGGGACTAGTGGTGACGGAGTTAGTGCATGCAATTGAGGGAGGGCGGGAGGTGCTCTTCAATCCAGGTAAGACACATCATTGTAATTAGTTAGCGGAAGGTTGCAAAGTAATAAATTATTTATTATAATGGATTTCCGCAAAGTAACGCCTGATTCTATCAATTATATATATTTATATTGAATATATTCCCCACAAAGCTTACTTATCAAATCGTATATTTAACATGTTTAAACTGTCAGAAATATTATTTGACTTTCCTCTCAAATAAGAGCAGAAAACGCTGTCTTGACTGCAATTTTTTCCCCTGAAGTTCTTTATTAATTTCAGGAAATAAATAATAATCGCTTGAGACTTAAATAAATCTGAGCTATAGGATGGATGTTTCAAAATTTTATAGCAGCCATCTAAATGCGCCTTGGCACGCACAGGCGCATCTTCTCAATGTTTCCTTTGCAGCGTCTTTCAATTATTTCAGTAGTAGATATTTTTCCGCTATTAAAACACCCTTTTGTTTGTAACCAATCAAAAATATTGCTTCTGAATCTCATTAAAAATGGACCTAGAGCTTCCCGCCCACAACAAAGATTCAATAGCTTAAGGCAACACAAAACGCATTGCACCTATATTGACAGGTCTAGACTATCTTTGACATACCGAGCCGATCATGCAGAAAATGGTGATATCTGATATAGAATATCAGATTTAAAATTTTTAAAAGGAATGAGATCTGATATGGAATATCAGATATCATTCCTTTTAAAAATTTTGAAACAAATATCTTTCGAAACAAATTTTTTACATTTTCTTTCACACTATCGGCAGTGATTGCCTATACAGGCTGTCCCGCCCTGGAATCGTCTCCAAGCGATTACACACAAATTATCATTAATTATTATTATTGTGTGTATAAAAAGTGAAGTCACCACAAATCGCATTTTTCTCGACCCACTATGTAGTAACATAGATTGCCAATACAAGCTAATTAAGCTAAGTTAAAATTTATTGCTAAACATGTTTTTATTTAGAAAAAAAAACATGCTATTCACTACCACACATAGCACATTAATGAAGTACATAATATTTAAATAATACTAGTTTTTACGGATTTTATATCGTATATTTAACTTTTTAAATACCCGACGTTTCGAGCACTTTACAGCACCCATGGTTACGGGGCTAAGATGTGACCATGGGTGCTGTAAAGTGCTCAAAACGTCGGGTATTTAAAAAGTTAAATATAAGCGATAAAATCCGTAAAAAAACTAGTATTATTTAAATATGTAGTATTCGCGTATATAAGAAATCATACAGTCGGTACATAATAGTTACATGTACATAATGTTAAAAGGTCAAGAGAAACTGATTCATTACATTGATATTCGATTAATTATAAATAGTATTATATGACTTGCAATACAAGTAATTTTCTTTCAAATTAATTTTTACGAGTAATCTAGAAGAAATAAATGAACATATTAACGGCATCATTACTCCTAGGCGAAATTATAGAGGAGTAAAAAATGGACTGACAGACATTTTGTTTGCTGCTTTAAGATTACAGGCTTTTCCATTATTTACTTAAATAACATAACATTATTTTTACAGACTGGACGTACAGCACTACATGTAGCATGCGAAGGAGGTCACTCAGACACCGCTGTTCTCCTAGTATCCAAAGGAGCATCGCGTGAAGCGAGAGACAACTCTGGTCGCACTCCTCTCCATATTGCCGCTGTTCACAGACACACTGAACTCGTACGAACTCTACTCGAGACGGACTGTCAAGTTGATACTACTGATAATGTTAGTTTAATATTATGTTTGCTTAGTAATTAAAATATTAGGGGAGGATGGCCTGAAAACCTGGTTGAGTTTAAAAATAATATTTAATTTCATTTATACAGTGATTTTGTATGACTACGATACTAACTATCACAGAATAATACTACTATTTTGGGTGTGTGCGGACTCACAACTTCACATAATATGTTGTATACCACAGCTTAAAGACAATACATACTCTTATTTCTGTACTGTAGTTACAGAATACAAATACCGTGGTATTCAAAAGAACAAGGTATAGTGTTTTATGTACTCCCAGTAGTCACGACATTGCTCATGGTCGGTCATACTTGTTGATGTCATTCAGTCGGTGTAATTTTTTCGAAATTAGTGGCCCATTCAGCCTGCAATGATTTCCATTCATTGAATGTATAAAATATGTGGTTTTAAATTAGATAGATTCCTCTTCGTTATTATTTATTGTAAATGACTGGCATAGGGTATATAAAATGTCTCTATTTTCACATCATCATCATAGTTGTAAACACAGCGCAACTGTCACCTCTGTAAAAACTCGTAACGCATCTCAGAACCCTAATTAATTTGAAGGAAGAATGTTTCGAAAATCTAATTACTGTCTGTATTTTGCTATAATAGTAAAATAAATTAAATAAAAATTACAATACTTAGAAAAATCCCGTATCACCGCACCGTAAGCATCGCGTGCCCAAAATTCTACAATCTGAGAGAAAAATAAAGTGAGTTTGTGGTAACATAAGAATCTCCAGTTTGAGTAATCATACAGAATGCACTATGTTGTTGCGCAGGGAACAAAACAAAGAATATGTGTGTAGGCAAGTATAGCAAATATCCTTCCTGTGAGCCTCTGAGGCAGTCTATGGGAAAGCCCTCCTACGCTCAACAGTGAACTATGAATATATGAATGAATGAAATAAATAACTAATAGAAATGGCAAAATTCATCCTGAAAAATAAAATGTTTTTTTTATAATGCAGAATGGCGTAACGGCGTTACAAATGGCGTGCGCCCAGGGCTGCAGAGGTATTGTGGAGCACTTACTTGCATTCGGTGCGGATGTTCATTTGCAAAATAATGTAAGTATTATTTTGTATTTATTCTGTGGTAAAACTTTATTATATAAAGAATGAAATAAGTTACCATACGATGTGCACGATTAATGATGTGGTTAAAAATAATGGAGATAAAATTAATTTATTGTCTATTTGGACAGTCAAATCCCCACTTCGAAAGATCGATTAACAATATTTATGCCACTACTAACTATGAATATGACTATGACGAAATGCCACAAAAATGTACCTAAACATCTATTGTAGTATGTGAAAAATGACCAGGACGGCTTAAAATTTGAAGCACATCTGGGATTAGGTTTGCCGGATGGTCGGGATTCGTCTGGAATCTCCCTACATTTTAAATGATCTCCAGAGTTCCGACGAAACTTAAAATCTCCAGACAAACAGCTTCTCGGAAAGTTAACGTATGGCCTTTGATTTAATAAACGCTGAGATAGTAATTGGACTGAATTTTGAAATAAATAATTGTTCGAATTTTAAATATTTTCTGAACACTACTAAAGGAACTAAATTAATGAACGCTAGTAAAGTCCAACGCCAAATACATGTGGTGTACTTATATTAGTTTCGTTTAAAGTATTTTTGTAGCTTCTTAATTAAAAAAATATACTTTTTATTTTTAATAATAATATCTCCCGACAGCAACTCCAAAATCCCGGCATTTTCAAAATTTGTCCAGATATTTTGGTCTTCCAAATTTTGGTGTTACGATCTGGCAAACCTATTCGGGATCATCAATTCTCTTGTTCAGCTACTTAACACCTAGCAATTATAATACGTCTCATCTAACGAAGAAGAATAGAAACTGTTATACCCATAGAATACTATAATACATACATAATATACCCACTATTTACCCACTGATAAACTTATCGTTAAAGTATAATGAACCTACTTTTAAAAATATCTCTATATTCTAATATGACAATTTCATAATAACAATTATAGAGTTAGTATATTTTTCAAGATCGAGGGCATGAATGAACGTACCTAAAAAAACCTTTTATTATACGTCCACGATCGAGCACACAGTCCACCTTATGTAAAGTGAATGCTGAGACCCATAGACATATGCATCCATCCTCGATTAAGAATCAACATACAGATGCGTCGTCACCTCTTATTAAAATGGAATGCTTCTTTACCAATGAAAAGTCTCCGGATCTTAAGACTCACCATACGAACCACAGCGCTGCTATTTTACGCTGTTATTATGTAGTGTTGTGTAGTATTTCTAACAATAGTATTTATGAGCGCAAATATATGATCACAATCATAATTCATAAACCGTCACGCCTGTCACCCAGAGGGGTAGGCAGAGACTACGGACACTCATTTGGCACGATCTTGACATGATCAAATATATTACATATATCATAATGAAACAGAAATTTACCAATTACCTGCGTGATTGACTTCGAAATGGGTATATCCGCAGAAGAATCGGAGTGACCTACATAGCCTAACGGTTTAGATAGCTGAAGTGGCAATGGGTCATATAGCTCGAAGAACGGACTACCGATGGGTATAAATGTACCAGAAAGCGTAGCGTAGGGCGGCCCCCCACTAGATGAACCTGGTAAACACACGCAGAAAGTAAATGCAGGTGGCTTAGGACCGTGCTTCGTGGCATTCCTTAGGAGGCCTATGTTCAGCCATGGATTTTTAATAGTTTTTTTTAGAATAAAGGTTTAAACCAGCACACAGCTCACCTGATGATAAGCGTATGCTGTGGTCCATAGGCATCAACATCTATCCTCGATTAAGAATTAAAATGCGGATGCGTTGTCACCAATCGGGTCTATGATGGAATGCCTCGTATCCAGTACAAACGGCCTCCGGTTCTCTACACTCACTATACGAAACACAGCAGCATTGAGTTGCTTATTTGACGTTGATCTTCTGTGAGAGGGTGGTTATTCCCCGGTCGAGCGGACCTATACGTGCTACAACCATAATATAGCTGCGACATGGCTCTACTGTGTAATAATAATATTTACCAATTACCAGGTTGGCTCATCAGCTTTACACGCGGCGTGCGCTGCTGATGCAGCAGACATCGTTGAACTCTTGCTAGCCCACGGGGCCGACCCTGCTCTCACCGACAAGGTATGTTAACAAATTCTTATATGTAAAATAAAATATTACGTGAAACCTGGGTTTCTACAGGAAAAGTCGATGTGATTCAAGGGCCCCTCTGAAGGAGATACAAACCTCGGTTTTAACCACTACCGTAAAGAGGGATCTATAATTGTTGCGTTATATAGATTTAAGGTGATTACCTTAAATCCACAACTGTAACTGATGATTATCAGAGCGCTTTTATTTGATAATTTTTTGGTTTTTAAAAAAAATGAAGTTTCTTGGTATTGTTCTGTTCGTCAAGTTTCATTACAATCTGTGTAGACATTTTGCAGATTAGCCCGGACGGATAGATAAAAATTAAAAAAAAAATACTGTTCATGTTTTAATGACATACAAATAACTGCCTCTTCAACTTTATTTATACTGGATGATTTTTTACCGTCTGGAAAAAATAGAGTTTAACAGGTGAACAGATTAAAAGTAAAAAATATTTTACATTTTTTTTTGCTTTTACATTGATAAAATTAAATAATATCGGTCTTAAAAATATATATAAATAATCTAGGTCTTAATAATTATAAATCGATATAAAATCGGTAATAAAAAAATAAAAACAAAAAATTTTAACTAAATAAATAAATCAATCAAAAACTATCGAATCCCCACGCAATTAGTGGTATTTATTGATGAATCAATTTCATAATGTGTTAATGTAAAATATAATAAAAAAATGTTAGTGGCATTTTTTCATATATGGTATGTATAAATTACATATTTTGTTAACTTTCTTAGCCCACATAATAAATGTCAGGGCTGGGCATTTGCCTCTCCCGCTGTGGACTTCCTGCTATCTCACTTGGGAGGCGGATTGATGATCGTAGTTCTAGACGTCTTGCACCTATCACGCTGCAGACCGTCCCTACCCTACGTATTTACGCCTGGCGTAAACGAGATAGTTATTAGCGCCATCTATTGGAAACCATAACATTTTTTGGCAATTCTATTATATCTCTTACGACTCACGTAATAAAATAGAGTGAGGGATTCTACTTAAACCGCAAAATAAAAACCTACTAATCTGTTTAGTTTTATTTCACAAGTTTCTGAATTTTGACAAAATCTGCTGCATAAGAAAATGTGACTACAACCAAAAAACTAACAATTTTTATTGACAGTATTTACAACGTGGTAGAGCCATATAGCAGCTATATTAATAGTATAGTTATAGCAAGAATGGGTCGGCTCGACCGGGGAAGGACTACGCTCTCACAGAACACCAGCGTAAAATAGCAGCTTAATGCTGTTGTGTTTCATACGGTGAGTGTAGAGTACCGGAGACACTACCGACAACGCGTCTGCATTTTGTTCACAATCGATGAATTAAAACGAGGTACGAGGATAGATGTAGAAGTCTATGGGCCACAGCAACTTACCATCAGGTACACTGTGTGTTCGCTTTTTACTCTTAAGCTATAAAAAAAAGTTGACAAAAGAAAACATGACGTGGTTGCTTTTAAAAAATCTAAAAGTAATGTTTTAGGGGACACCCGGGTTTGAACCGGGGACCTCTCGATCTGCAGTCGAATGCTCTACCACTGAGCTATATCCCCACATGGCTGAATTAGTAAAATTACCACACATATTAACACGTTAAACGCCATGGGGGGCACCGGTGACCTCATGTATGTTGCTTTATTGCGCCATGGGGGACACCGGTGACCACATGCGAGATCTAAATTTAAAGTGCTTTTTTGCGCCACCGGTCACGCGTGTCGTTTATTTCGCCTATGTGAGTGACCGGCGCGGCGCTTGAGAGCAATCCTTTGCAGTGGGACACACCTGCCTAGTAAAATTTAGAAAATAGGTACTAAATTATGAGAAGTAGGGAAAAATACGCAAAAAAAAATGTTTCATATAAAATTTGGTTTTAAATATCGTAGTTTTAAGATTCAAAAGATACAAAAATCTTTTACAGTATTAATGTTTTAATAACATAATAATATATCAATCACAAAGAAATATCAATATTTTACACGTGGTCATAGAAAGGCTCACAAAACAATTTAGATAATAATTTAAAAGTTATTATATTGAAAATATTACAAACAAAAATTATTGTCCAAATTACGTTCGATGCTCTCTATTAAAACATGGCAGGCAATAATGTGGCTGACCATCACACTGCAAACAATAGGTAGGCACTTTCAGGGTCTTATTTTTTGCGTCTTTTCTCGACATCTTTTCTACATTGTTCTTGTAACAGCCGACACAAAATCGTCTCATTTTGCGTACAGGTCCCTCTTTTTTGACAAGTTCATGTTTTCGTCGTTTTGGACGTAATTCAAGTGCCAAGTTACCTGTTTCTGGACGTCCTGATTTAGTGAGATATTGAACGAGATTTTTTTCTATAATCTACTACTGAAATATTTTTCTTAGTGGTTTCCTTATACATTATCAACGCATTTACCACAGCTGTATTCAAGAGCAATTCTATGGCCAATTTTCTATACCATTTGACAGTTTTTCTCAGTGGAGTTGAATAAGCTGTCATCTGATCACTCATGTCGACTGAAGCTTTACATTTGTTATAATCAATAACCATTGCTGGTTTTTGCACCGCCTTGCCTCTGACATTTAATCGAGTAAATTTGTCCATGTGCTTTGTAGACAGCATTAAAACATCTCTTTTATCTTTCCATTTTAATACTGTGATGCCAAAATCGTTTTCTTGTGCTACGAATTCACCTCGTTTTAAATTAGTTTCTACTACTTTCATAGGCAAGTACTTTCTGTTCTTTCTCACTGTCCCCAGGAAATGTGTATCGTTTTTTAGTAATTCGTACGCCAGTTCCAAGCTGGTGTACCAGTTATCAGTGGCAATGGTGTGGCCTTTATTCAAGAGTTCATCGCACAGGGATAATACTATTTTTGTAGGGGTATTATTCTCAATATCAATATTTTTTCCACTGTATACCTGTATTTTTAAAGTATAACCAGGATTTGTACAAACTTTAAACAATTTTATACCGTATTTGTGCCTTTTAGATTTGTTATATTGTCGAAAAGTGACTCGACCTCTAAAAGGAATCATACTTTCGTCGACACACAGTTCTTCTTTAGGGGCATAGTAGGCTTTAAATTTATCATTTAACAAATTCACAAGATACCTGATTTTTCCAATGCGATTGTTCGGATTCAAGTTGTAATTGTCGGCAAAGCGTAGTTACTGTAAAAGTAATTCAAATCTGTTCCTAGTCATCACTGTGCGAGGAAACGGTTGTTGAAATATGTCATCTGTACTCCAGTAATCACTAATTGATGGCAATTTCACAAGGCCCATGAATAAAATTAGTCCAAAAAATCGTTTTATTTCATGCTTATCGGTTGGCTGCCATGTATGTGAGCGAGAACATGGCTTGAAATCTTTATCTCCAAAGCTTTGCGTAGCAAACAGGTTACTTTGTTCAGCAATTATTTCAAACAAGGAATCGTCAACTAACAAAGAATAAAAATCCTCTGGATCTCCTTGACTTAAGTCTCTTGAAAAAGGAAACTTCATACCTGTGGGCTCAGTGAAGGGTATCACTCGAGCAGTGCATCCAGTAGGGTTCTTCCATTTTGTGTACGTGTTTGAAGAAGTAGGTAAACTTTGTAGGACAAAATCTTTTACTGAATCGCTTTCACTGTCCGAATTGATAACCATACGTCTTCTTTTCTTCGGAACATGTAAATTTTCAGACTCATCGTCGCTACTGATGTCCCTGAACGATGTCTGAAGTGCGTTGAACTCCAAAGTCTCAATCTCTTGCAAATCTTCTTGCGACAATTCAAAGTCCGCCAAATCCATTTGAAATTCGCAAAAATCGCGTTCCTCATTATTAGATACTATATTATTTTCCATCGCAATGAATTACTAAACATAACTAACATGAAATATGCTTTAGACGTATTCTAATTAGCCAAAAACCAAACGAACATAACCTCTCCGCGCAAGCGCCGTCGATAGACTGGAGCGCGGGGTGACCGGCGGGGTGGGCGGCGTGGCGCATGCAAACGAAAAATAACTTTTTTTGCTTTTGAGCGCCATGGGGGTCACAGGTGCCCGCGGCTAGTTTTTCAGCAATAACTTGAAAACTGTATTTTTGATTTCGATAAAAACTGATTTCTATACATATATCATGATTATTAACAAAATGACTACAAAAAAATTTTTGGAGTAAAAATCACATTTCTTACATGGCGTTTAACGTGTTAAAACCTTTTAACAAAATATTAAATAAAAAATGTAGGTTATATATTGATAATCTTATCAAAACCACTTACTTCATTTACTGCCGCCTGTTTTTCCTAATCATAAATAATGATTCTGCTATCAATTTCTTTTCATGTTCGCATCAATGTTAGTGCCGGTATGAAATATTTACTACTCCATTAATTATCATACCAAATATAAACCAAGCAGCAGTCTGGAAGACCAACTACTAACTCTCTCTCCTACTAATCTCGCCTACTAACCCTGGCAACACTGGCAAGTATACTTTATGAGGAGGCCTATGTTCCTATGTTCAGGAGTGAACTTTGATTGGCTGTTATGTATGAAATGGAAACGATACTACACAGTACTTATTATTTATTCTGAGACGATATTAGGAAAGGTCGCGATATTAGAAAAAATCTTTCTTTAAACAATACTACCTACTGCTATCCAGTTACCAGGGCAACATAGCTTATCAACATGTTTGCTAAGGAAACAGTCGAGTTGCAAAATATCAGTATGACGTGACGTCCGCCCATGCGATATTTGTTTACTTTGCATATTTAGCGCCAGTGACTCAGGGACACAATAAATACTGTCTGTCGCAGACTTGTAATCTCGGTCGCAAAATAAAGTATCTACTATTTTTATACAAAAACAACGTCTCAAAAATCTTTTGATAGTATTATTATATAGTATTGAATATTAGATCGTGGCCGTTTCTTGATTAGTTGATACTCTTTTAAATGAGGTAGAGCCACGCTACAACTATATTATA